TTGTTTAATTACATAAAATTTTTCAAGTTATTGTCTATTCTTTTAAGGCAGTCACTTTATTGTAGTCAATCATATGGATAAAAATCTATTGTAGCCTATCATAGAGCTGTAAATGATTTCTTGCACCAAGCTTTTGTTGCAAGACATTTATGGCCTCTATATTTTCATGTGTCTAATTACTCCAGCTGAAATTTGTCCAAATCTACTTATATTGCAGTTGCTTGAAGCTTCTTAATATTAAGGGCAACTGTTCTTCTTGACTCTTCAGTTATCGTGTCCCCCATATCTGTTCTGCCATTGCACGTAACTCTTTCCTCAGTGTTTCATTAGGGTTCCTGTAGCTAAACACGTGGGGAGATCCTTTAGAGCAGTGTGCTAGATCTTCCTTTCCTGATGCCTCAAAAGCAGTTTTATTGATTTAGTTTGAAGGAAAAATAGCCTGTATTGTGATTTCATCCTTTCTTTTTTTTTTCACTCATAGTTGTAAAAAAAAGCCTTTTCTTAAATAACCCTTTATGAATTAATTTATTTTTTACATTTTACTGTATTAATACATTTGGAGTTCTGAGGAATTTTGGAGATCATCAAGTCCCAATTCCTTAATTTATACTAGAAATTCTGAATGAGTGGCTCAAGATTACCTAATCATAACACAGAAGTGACACTACCAGTTTTTATAGAGTATAAAACTTATGAATGTGTGTGTGTGTGATTAATGCTGTAGTAATGCCTGTTTTCATCTATAAATAGTCAGGTAGATACATCAAGTGCTACTTCTGATTTACTACAGTTCAATCCTACTTTTTACTTTTTTTTTTTTTTTTTTACTGGTACGGGGATTGAAGTCAGGGCTTCACACTTGTTAGGCAGGCACTCTTTATCACTTGAACCACACCTCCAGCCCTTTTTTTCTCTGCTTATTTTGGTGATGAGGGTCTTACTTTTTGCCCAGATGGACCTGGATCACAGTCCTCCTATTTTATGCTTCCTACTGCCATAGCTGGGATGGCAGGTGTGCACCACTACACTCAGCTTACACTTAGTTCACACTTGTGAACTATTTGCCTGGGCTGGCCTGAAACTGTGATCCTCCTGATCTCAGCCTCCTGTGTAGCTAGGATTACAAGTATGAGCCAGTGTGCCAGCTTGACTTTTATTCTTGCAGCATTCAGTTTTGCTTTCAATTTTACATACCTTAGTTCTAAGTTAGATCTGCAGATGTGTGTATATATATTTTCACATTCATGTAGTGCAGTCATCATGCTGTTTACCATTGATGGTGTTTTGCAATATGTAAATAATAAAAGCTCTGCACACAGGGGAAAAAACAGAGTACCTGCTTAGTCCGTGGCAGAGACAGGATTCAAAGCTGTTTGTAGCCTCCCTTTCCATTCAAGATGGGCCAAATTTGTTGTTAAGTTAGGATGAGCTTCTGATTTAATCTCTAGCTGTCAGTTAACTTTAGTCTTTTTTCCTAATGATAGACAAAACCTTTTGTTCTAACATCTTTATCCTTACTTTTTAGGAAAATGTACCCAAAAGAAAAAGTGTAGACTTTGAGAACAAGTCATTACTTCTACTACAGAAATAACTCAGATTTTCTGTGGATGCTGTTAGCTTTCTCTTTGCATATGAATGTTGAATTATTTAAATTTAAAAACTGCATTTATCCTTTTGTCTAATTTTTGAAATGTTTACTTAAAAAAATAACATGTAGCTCTACCTTACTCTTCTCTCCTTTATTTACCTAGCTATTTATTTTTGTGGCTGAGGCTTACTATGTAGCCAGCATTGGCCTCTATCTGGTGGTCCCCCTGCCTCAGCCTTCCAAGTGCTGGAATTACAGGCATGCACCACCATGCTTGGGAATTTCCTTTATTTAAATTAAACAAAACAATTGAAGATAAGTGAGCAGATGACCAGTGTGGCCAGGTAAGTGGCCAGTCACATTGGAGCTGAGGAAGCAAAAGTGTGGCACTGAATATGAGGTTGCCTTGGCCTAGGTGGTCAGAGCAGAGGGGGCAACTCATCGTGGGGTAGGGAAATTGGTACAGAGAGAGTGAGTGAATACATAAACATATTAAGGTTGAATAAGAGCCAGTTCCTTACTGCTGGAGAGAGAGTTACACATAGAGGACAGAGGAAAGCTAGAATAAGCCATGTGGTATCAAGATGTGGTAGAATGTGTGTGTACGGGAAGTCCTAGTACTTCCACATTGGTTTGTAAATACCCCAGAGTTCCATGGAGAAAGCAGCCCAAATGGATTGGTATATGGTGGGTTTTTTTGTTTTCCTGACAACATTTTGGTACTAAGTACAGAAGGGGAGCTGGATGTCTTTCCTCTGGTTTTAGGGCATTTGCTTGACATCTGTATTGTCTGGGCCTCTCTTCTTTCCCACTGCCCTCAAGTTCAGAGACCCAATATTCTGCAAAATTGGGGTAGGAAAATCAGCTGATTACATGAAGAAGGTGAGGGAGCCTGAAGCTGTAACTTTTGTTTGTTTGATTAATTTTTTTTTAATATTCAAAAATCAACAATGCTTATTTTCAAGCAATAATGTAGATAATGGAAAAGAAAATGTTATATTTAATACCACAGTAAAGATAAAATATCCAGAAATAAATTTAAGAACTACTTAAGACGCATAGATGAAGCAAATTTTAAAACTGAAAGCAGTTGAAGTAGACTTAAGCAAGTGAAATAATCCCTTTTACTTGGGTATAGTAACTGAAATTTAAACAAGTATTGTCTCTCCTGTATGAAATGTATGGATTTAACATAAACACCCAATACAAACACCAGTGCTTTGATAATAAAGTTAATTTGGAAAAGTAAATGTGTAAAAATATTCAGGCAGACACTGGGAAAAAAGTCAATGTGGGAACTAACATACCAGACTTAAAACAAGCCCTAAAGATACTCATGAAGTGTGTGGTATTAGTTCATGAAATTGCATCTCCCCCAAGTGAAGATACAAGGAGAAACTGGCTGTTAAAAACCAAGAAGCGAGCTCTAAGAACCTGACTATGCTGACACCCTGATCTCAGGCTTTCCATCCTACAGAACCATGAGAAAATAAATGTTTAAGTTACTCAATCTATAATAAGCAGACTCAGACACTGTTATAGCAAAGTTAATTTCTCTCATCAACGAAAAATGTCAAAGTCTTAAATTCTGTGAGAATTTTCTGACTATAGGAATGGATTACAAAGTGTGCCTGACATTGCTCTTTGTTTACCTAAAGTGATTGCACCCTTATTACTTATTGACAATTCATTTTCCCGATTTTCTTTGATCTGAAAGAGTCTGGAATACTCCCTAGTCTAGACTGGTTATTTTGGCCAATAGGATTTCAAGGGAATTTTGCTGGCAGGTTTCTTTGAATGACTTTTCCTATTATAGCAGAAGGACATGGTGCATTAGTTACATTGCTTTGTTTTATGCCATTCCCAGCTTTCTCACTTTTAATACATATAGATCTGGTATGCAGAACAGTTAGGGTAAACTCTTGACCATTAAAATAAAGTGTAAAAAGAATTATAGTATGTTAATGTAGAGAGAGAGATAACATTATTGAATCACAACCAAATGTCAGCAATGGCTGGCCTCCCAATTTTTTGTTAGGTAAGAAAACGTATTCTCTCTTGTTTGAGCCACTATTAGTTGGATATTCTACTGATTGCATTCTACTTACTGATATATGAAATCTTTCTTCTGATATTGAAGTTACTAAAATTTATTTAAATAGAAGGTAACTAACAAGCTCATAGAGAAAAGATCCTAAGCAGGTTGACAGAGCTGAAATCCTGACTCTATCAAGTTTATTCTTGGATTCTTCATGCATGTCATCATCTGATGACTCGCGTGTCTAGGTGATAGCTGTAGCATCCATTTCATTCTTCATGTGTTCTTCCTACCGTTAGCTAGGATGGCTTTCTTAGCATAATGGTGCATTCCAATTAGGGAAAGACAGCATCTGCATGGTAGCTTGAGATAGAGACTTTGAAACTAGAATAATGTAATTTATACCATGTTCTAGTGGTCAAAATATATTACAAAGCAATTTCAAATTCCATTATTGGGAAATAGATTCTACCTCTTGGTGAGAGGAGCTTCAGAATTTGTGTCCATGTTTTCTTTTTTTATATATATATTGGATTCTAAACCAGTTCTCTGGTGTTATCTCTACAACCACCTCTGTGTCCACAGGTAGCTGGTGCTTTGAGTTCCTGAGCCTCTGGGGTATCCTTCTAGTTAGACATTCTCTTCTAGGCTGCCTTTCATATTTTGCACTATTTCAGTTTCCATTTGATGATCAGATTTCCAGTTCCTGTTAAAGTAGATATATCTTACTTCCTATAGTTGCTGTCTTTTTAATTTTCTTAGTTGATTTATTCTAATGTACAAAATACCTGAGAATCCATAATTTATAAATCATAAGCATTTGCCACAGTTCTAGAAGCTGGGAAGTCCAAGATGAAGATACTGACAGGTTGGGTATATGGGAAGGGGTGCTGTCTATTTCCAAGATGGTGCCTTGCTCCTGTGTCCTTACATGGAGTAAGGCAGAGGGAAAAAACAGCAACATAAACCCCAATGGCTGGTTAGTTCTCTCCAGCTCTTTTAGAAGGTCGCCAATACTGTTTATAAGGGCTTCAGAACTCATGACTTAATCCTTTCCAAAAACCCTTCCTCCTAGTACCATTACGTTGAGCATTAAGTTTCAAAATGAGTTTTGAGGGGAACACTAACATTCAAACCATATAAGTCCTTGGGATTTATGTTGCTTGTTTGTTTCTTTCCTGTCATTTTTGGGTGGGATTTTACAAGGAAGCAGAGATTTAAAATATATGCTTAACATGGCATATTTAAACTTAAATATCATAGTTCTTTATGTTCCTGGTATAATTTATTAACCTTGCAGTATCCAAGAAATAGAAGGTTTTAGCTGTGTTTTTTTCTTTTAGTGGTAGTTTTTTTGAATGTTTTGTTCTGTAGGATGCCTCACTGATGGACATGAACTCCTTCAGCCCTGTGATGCCAACGTCTCCTTTATCAATGATAAATCAAATCAAGTTTGAAGATGAGCCAGACTTAAGGGATCTCTTCATTACAGTTGATGAACCTGAAAGCCATGTTACTACGATTGAAACTTTCATCACCTACAGGATTACCACTAAGGTAAACATTGAATGAGCATTTTCTTGAATATTGCTGCTCTCTTTAACCTTTTGATAGTGCTTTGGCTATTTAGACCTCTTATATTCAAGGATCATAGGCAAATTGATTTTTACTTTTCAACCATTTTTGGTATAACATTGCATCTTACCTGTCACTTATTTGTTTTGTATGCAGTTCGAAATCTGAATTGACTTGGGAAATACTCATGCATTTTATCATATTTCTTAGGACATGAATATTTAGATTTTTATAATGAAATGCCTTTGGAAAAGAAAAGCCTCAGTTTGCTAATGAAAATACCAAATGATAAAAACATGACATAATATTTTGTTTTTATGTTTTTTTCTGAAGATTACAAAATAGAATTCTATTTATTTTGTAAATAGAAACGAGTAGCCACTTTAGCTTGTGTATGAAATACTGTTACTTGTTCAGTAAGGCAAGGGTGGAAATAGATCTAGAACCCAAGTCTGCATCCTCTGCAAAAAGGATGGTTTACCTCACAGAAAAACTGTGCTTGCATAATGCACTCTCCACACTTCTACTAATAATATCTCCTAAAAATGTAGATACATGATGTCTTAAAATCTTTCTGTGGTTACTCATTCCCTATAGTCCTCTGGGTGACCTGTGAAGAGCATCTCAGTCTGGTGCCAGCTGACCATCTAAGACTCATCCCTTCCTCCTGAGATTCTCTACCCTTCACCCTGCCCATCTAGAACTTCTGCTCCATGGGTATTTTAGAGCACTTCTTTCTCTCATGAATTTGAATATGCCTTTCTCTTAGAGAGAGCTACTGTTTATTTTTCAAGACACTACTCAAAATGTCAGATGCCTGTGAAGTCTTCTTTACTTGTTTGCTGTCCCCCGTTGAAATAGCTCTTTCCTCTCTTCTCCCACAGTGTTCTAACTGAGCTCTTAGAGAATGTAAAACAATGAGTCAGCATAGCAAAGCAATTAAAAACATATAGTTAGTCCTTCTAAGCCTCGGATTTAACCTAGGAAACAAGAGACCATAATGGAGCCTCGTCTGGCAGTGTTGCTGTAAGAATTGATTTAGGATAAGTAGTAATCAATGCAAAACACTTAGCAAAACTCCTCACACACACTAAGTGCTCAGTAATCACCATCTTCCTGTGAGCGAGAAGATAACTGTGTGTTTACTTGTATGTATTCCCAGTGAGTCTGAGAGCTCCAGGGTGACTATGACTAAAATTATCAGTAGTTCCAATCCTATTTCTTAGGACATAGTGAGTAAGCAATTTAATTTTTTGGTGAATGAATAGGTGAAAGAATTTGTATCAGTTTATATCAAGAGGCAGTACAACATGTAATTGAATCTTCACTTGCCCCCTTCCTGGCTATGTGTCCTGGGCAATTTAACCTGTCTTTATTAGTTTCTTCATTTGTAAATGAACAAATAAAGTAATAGTACTAACTTCTTAGCATCTTTATGAAAATTGAATATCATTATATGTATACTGCTAAGAATATAGCCAAGTTTCTCCTGTTACTACTCTTATAATTAAATACTTCTGATTGTTATCCTTTAAGCAGAGAATTTGTGAAATTTAATTATTTTCCCATGATTTGCATCTCTTAGAGATGCACTCTTCATACACCACCAAATGGATTTCACTGTGATTGTAGACCTGCAATGAGTTATCCATGTTTACATCATACTTTAAATGGATTGCTTCTGTAGCAGTAGAAGTAATAATATTAGCTAATACTGATTACCACTCAGCATTAGACAGTGCTCAAACCATTTTCTGTGTATTAACTCATTTAATCTTGTAACAATTACAGAACTTAGATATGTTTACCCTCATTTTATTAATGATGAGACTGAAACTCATTGCCTTAATATAGTGTATATAACCTAGTAATTAGCTGAGCTGGATTTACTTTCATATTATACATTTTTTTCTTACTATATTTTTGTGTATCTGTGTATAAATTTAGTGATCTATCTTTCTTTTTAACTATTATAAGCTTAGGTTCTTTGTTCTATTTCCCATTACTTTTGCTTATATCCTAGTATATTGACCAGATCTGTGTAGATTGAAATATAAATTACAATAGAAGTATTCACATTTAGTATATGTATATTATCAAAGTCTCTTCTTTATTATTTACTTGACTTCATTATTCATTTAATAATTTATTCCATAAAGTTTTACTGAGTGCCAGTTTTGTCCCACATATTGTACTTTTGCATGAAGATTTCATCAGTGGTCAGGAATTGATGGAAGGATCCTTCTGCCTTCATGGTTCTTTCAGTTCACATATGGGGGAAGGAGTGAGTTTGTGATGATGTTAATTTGCTACTTATCAAACTATAGTTATAAGTGTTATGAAGGAAAAATATGTGATATTAGGAACATTGGGAACCCCATCTAATGGTCATACAAGGAGGGCTTCCCTGACATTTCATGGATATTGCAGATTATAAGATAAACTCACATATGCATACTCATCTACACACATTGACAGTCCCCTCCTTAGGAATATGTAAGACTGACTAAATAGTTGTGAGAACCAGAATACCATGTTCCTAGCCTTTGATCTCTTTATGGGAGGTTACACTTTCTTCTCGAGGTTAGTATGTAGTACTTCTTTCTCTTCTGGAGATCTAGAGATTGCTTTGCTTGTAGAAGTAACATCTAAAAGATTTAACTATGGTCTTTTCTTCCCTGTCCTCATCATAGAAACAAACCTATAAAGGCCTGCTAGTGTACAGATAGGGGTTAAATTATGCTTGTGATTGGCTGAATTGATGATGAAGATTCATTTTCTCCCCAAAACAGTTCCTAAATATGCAGAACTTGCCCTAACTGTTCACATTTGGCCGTAGATCAGTGTTTATTGAGTGAATGCATTTTGGGGATGGGTCACAGGAGCCTATTGGTACTAAATTTCAAGTTCCTGAGGTTTGATGGTCACACCTGAGAAATACAGCGTTTACAATATTGCATCCATGGCAAACTGCATTCTAGGTTAGAAGCCTTCTTTGTAGTTCAAATGAACTCTGTAGAGCTAAAAAGAACTTTGTAGAGTTCTTTCTAAATTGGAGATCTTTCATGAAACTCTTATTCATATGGTTTGGATGCTTTTTTTCTATATTTTAATGACTAAATTTGGCTACTTTAGATAGGATGGTGATTCTGATCTCTGTTGTGGGGAAATTAATCATGATCCGAACCCAGCTGATTGCAGTGTTTGCCTTGTCGTATGCCTTTCAGGAGCAGAACAAAGTCTTGTGGTAGGAAGAAGCAGCAATTGCCCTTGTCCTCAGTGTTCGTTGTTATTAGAATATGTTAGAGAAGAGTGATAAGGACAGACTCAACTAATTGTTTGACTTGACTTGCTATCTTCTTGTTGAAATTTACACCAGATTGTTTCATGTTTGCTAGCGTTCGAAATTCTTAAAGACATACACAGCTCAGTCATATCTTAATTGCCCATATTGAATACATGTATTGTTAGTTACACCAGTTTGTTTTCTTGGAAATTGGTAATGAACCTGTACATAAGTGCCTGGCGCAAGGGGATGCTTGGTATGTGATTAATGAGTGACTCTAAATCACGTTTGTGTGTGTGTATATGTATGTATGTGTATGTGTGATGTGTGTATTTGCTTAACAGCCAGTATATATGTTAATGTATATATATGTATATTGCTAAACTGTGTTTCCACTAGATTTAATATTTTCTATTTTTACCATTTCCATATCTACTAACATTTTGCAAAATGGTTAAGGTTTTATAGTGTTTCATAAGTATTAGTTTCTTAGACATCTTCATCTAATTTACTCCCATTTTTTCCTACTGAAAAGCGAATGTTTTGGCAAGATACGTTGTTTGACATTATAAATATTCATTTTAAAAGACTGAACCTTGGAAGGTATAGCTTTTGTGAACTTTATTTCATGACAATTGAGATTGTATCTCATGACTTGAAGTGCTTAATTTTGTAATTGGTTCATCTGTGTGGATGAGGGCTGCTTTTGGTGATAGTGGAATATATTTGCAATATGCTATTCCATCTCTACTCCTCCAGGAGTATTTTAATGTAATACAATTTTTAATACATAAAAATTCAGGAAGTGAAGTATTGGTATGCATGACTATTTTCTTGTGAGAGGTGAGTATGTCTTAGAGAAACCACATTTGGGTGTTGTCCTGGCATTTGGGTGGGAGATTGTACCTATGTTCCCATCAGCTGAGTTGGCATAGAGTTTTGGTTGGCTGAGAACAGATATTTTAATATATTTGCTTAGGAATTTATGCATATAACACAAAATAAAACTCCTAGAGAAATGACAGAGAGATTTTCTTTTCACATCAAATATCCATTAATTACATTTTTTAAAACAGTGGTAAAATCACTCTGTAAAACATTACAATTTTTATATACTAAAAGCAAATTTTAGCAAAGCAATTCATTTGAGCAAGTTCCAAGAGAACATTTTTCACAGTTATGTTCAGGTTATTTTCCAAATTGCAAAAATAGGACTTTCCTCAAATTCTAATCATCTTGAGAAAAAAATAATATTTGAAACCTAAATTCAGGGCACACTTTCTTCTTAAGTGAGAAAGTCATGCCAGAGAAAATGGTAGTTGAGATCTCGTGGAAGGCAGATGGTTGTGGTAAGGCAGATTTTTAAGTTTGGACTTTAAATTTAAGCATGGTGTTTGCTTTTCTTTCTGGAAATGCCTGCAAGTTTGCTTTCTTTCATCTGCTACATGAATAGAGAACTAAAAAGAAATACAGGCTGACAAACACTGAATAATTAGGATTTAATTTTTCTTAGAGACCCATTTATTTCAGAGTATCTAAAATAACATTGGGCAACTGGCTTCTGTCTTGTATTTCTTGGGCTGTTATTTTCTCCTGCTTTCTTCAGACATCTCGTGGGGAATTCGACTCCAGTGAATTTGAAGTGAGGAGACGTTATCAAGATTTCCTTTGGTTGAAGGGAAAACTTGAAGAAGCACACCCTACTCTGATTATTCCAGTAAGTTTTAAGATTTTCCATACAATAACCTCTATTTATTTTCTTGAGTCTTTTGGAATGCTGTCTACAACTTAATATCTGACTTTTAAATTCAGTGTAATTCTTTTATCTTAGAAATTTATTTCTAAACTTTTCAGTCTAAATACAGATTTTTAAAAATGATTATAATATGTGATGACTTTGTATATTTTGTTTATAGCATTGTGAATTTTTAAAACTTTTTTTTATAAGAAATGATCAAATATTCAACGAGTCTTCCATGCCATGTTACACTCAGATAGCTTTTTTTTTTCTCTTGGTTTCAGCCACTGCCAGAAAAGTTTATAGTGAAAGGAATGGTGGAACGCTTTAATGAGGACTTCATTGAGACGCGCAGGAAGGCGTTGCATAAATTTTTGAACAGGATCGCTGATCATCCAACTTTAACATTTAATGAAGACTTCAAGGTTTTTCTCACTGCACAAGCTTGGGTAAATAATTTTGATTTATACTCATAAGATCCTTTAGTGTGAATGTGTTCAGCAGATTCTATGTTTCATCTTGTTTGCCTTTACAGTTCAGGCAGTGGTGTCCCTGAACCAGATGGAGTTTAATAAACACTGGAGAGAGATCCTTCAAGTATAGTTAGCCCTGTGTCGAACTGACATAGTAACATTACAGAATTCCGGTGTCTTCCTCACACACACATACTCTTGGTGTTGGTTGCATATATTGTCAATACTGACCATATATAAGTATTTTTATTGACATTATCTTGAATAATGAGTCAAGACTTAATAAAAGTCTTTATTAAGTGGATGGATAAATGGAAGGGGTCAAAGAAGTGGAAGAGAGAAATAATATTCCTTTCAGAAATCTTATTAACCTCTGTTCTGATACAGAAAACTTACATATTTTTCTTCCGTTTCCTCCTATGAAACTATAACTCAGCAAGAAAGGTAATAGATGGGAAAAGGGTAGATATTAAACAATTACTGAACAGTGTTGTATTTTTTGCCTCTCAGTTGTTGTCATAGTGGTAGAAGCTAAAAAGTGGTTCATCTCACTCTTGACAGACAGTCCCGATATCTGGAAGCTCCTGTGAAACGTGAAATGACTCTGTGGCCTGAGTCCAAAACCTCAGAAGCTGTTAGGAACAGTCCCTGCAATCCACAGTTGCAGTAGTCGGTTACCAGTTGTGACTTGTGCTGTGTTTGATAATGTTTATTCACAGTGAGGTTGTGGCACTCCCAGGTGAATGTGGTGCCTGGTGCCTCGTCAGTGTACCTGTAAACAAACAAACAAACAAAATGCTTACAATATGTATGTTGTATATTTACAATAACAAAGTTTTCTATAAGACTTTCAGGAAGGAAAAGCTGGAGGAAGATAGATAATATGTTACTCAATATTTGAGCAAACAATATACAATTTTTAACCTATAGACTAATAGTGGGTGTTAATATTTATAGATTTATTTTTTCTGTGTTGCTCTGTACCTTTTATTTGTCCCAAATCAGTGTTTCAACAAATTCTATGACCATCATTGGAACCCCTTGTCCACTTTTTCATTGTTCTTGTTAATATGCCATATTTCTGAAGGGATACCTTGATGTAAAATGTATCCTTTGCTAGCGTCTCTTCTATTTTGCAAATCTGTAGCTGTCTTTCCTAGGTTAACAGTGAAGTACCTAGTTGCATATCTTCCTAAAAATCTTTCTCTATATATGACCAGCCAGTGGAGATGGTGTCACAGTTTACCACCTCTGGTTGGTTGGTAGTATCTGTTTACAGATTCCCCTACTGACTTGAAAGGAGGCAAAACTAGTTCATGCATCACAGTGAAACCCCTGCAGCCAGATTACCAGGAATGCCATCTTTGCTCAGTCACTAACTTCTCTTAGACATTGAGCAAGTGACTTACCTTCCTGTGCCTCTTACTGTCATCTGTAAAATGAGGACAGTAATAGAACCTACCTCATAGATTTACTGGGAGTTATGTGTATCATTAAAATGTGAGCTTAGTGCCTAGACATATTACTCTCTCAAGAAATGTTAGCGATTTTTATACTTAAAGAATTAATGAAGTTTTCCATTTCTTTGCAGAAAGTAATGTAGGCCCCGAGAAGTCTTCTCTCAATCATTTTCCCATTTTGTTCTTGTTATAAAATATAAATGATGTATTATATCATCCTCTTTGCTACCATCTCCTTGAGCCCTGTTCCCTGTGTTACATTCTGTTCTTTTAAAGATTTATGCTCAGAGAAAAGGTTATACACCTGTTTTACGTGAATACTTTGAAAAAGAGTATTATCCAGAGGACTGAGAATTAAAGGAGAAACTGTATCATTGTGGATCTTGTCTACTTCAAAGTAACAATCAAAATAAGACATGCATGAAATAGTTTTATTATCTTTACTTTATTCATCGAACTAGGTATCCTTTTTTATTGAGCTTTGTGGTGTCATTACTTGCTTCACCAGAAATGTTTTATTTTTTGTTTCCAGGAACTCTCTTCTCACAAGAAGCAAGGGCCTAGCCTGCTCAGCAGGATGGGGCACACAGTTAGAGCCATTGCTTCCTCCATGAGAGGAGTTAAACACCGACCGGAGGAGTTCATGGAGATGAATAACTTCATTGAAGTATTTAGCCAGAAAATTAATCTCATAGATAAAATATCTCAGAGAATTTACAAAGAAGAAAGGGGTATGTGGAATTACTGTGGTGTAATTTCAAAGTTGTATAGTGTCTTTTGGACCTTCGCTAACAAAGGATGGTGACATTGTTAGAATTCCACTCTTAAAGCATGTCTGTATATTGAAATTTTCTAATTTTGTAATGATTTTGAAGGCAGTCATAGCCAGTCCCCATTTGGTTTTATCAATCACTAGCTGTTCTGGCTCTCATTTATAGATAACAGTGGTAGAGTAAGCCCTGAGTTGGAGATTTGAAATGTAGGTGTATGAAATTGGTATCAAATACTCACCAGGGCTGTATTATAAAATCAATGAAGTGATGTTCCAGGAACTGTTTTCTACATTTCTTCTAGGAATTATTTTGGTGGTGATAGGGTTGGAAGAAAAAGAGTACTCTGTATTAGACCTTTCCAAGTGTGGCAGAAATATTGATGTATTGGAAAGTATGTCTTTTTTCCTATTTTCTATCATTATTCCTTTTCCAACTTTCTTTTTTAAATTTTATAAATTAGACATCATTCCATAATCATTCTTCCCTAGTGCCAGGGTGAGTTTCTTCCTAATTTGCGAGTTGCATTTGCTTATATGAAAAATAGGTGACTGATTGGTCAAGCATTTTCTAGCATAACTTGGTATCAGAGGGACTGGTTATGGACAAACTGAGGTCACTACATTGATAGGTTGCTTGTTAATTGTCTGTGTCTGTCATTAAATTGTAAGGTTTGTTAGAATAATCAGGGAAAAAGTTTATTTCTAGTTCATAGTATCTAGGTAGCACCTAATACACAATGGGCACTCAGTTAAAGTTTTATAATGTCTGAAAAAAAAATCAGTGACTCTGAGATTTACAATAATGGCAGAAATACTTGCTTTGTCAAGGATTGATTGGTTATGAAAAAAAATAAGGAAAAAAATAAATTACTACAGCTTAATATGCTTTGCAGCCCTTCTTTTTCATGCAGGACACTTGAGCTTATTGTGGTGGCTGAATGCAGTTTATTAATTTGTTTGAATCCTCCTTAGTTTGTTCTTGTATTTGCCATTTATGATTTTTTTCTATTCTTTTCCTTTCCTCTCTCCCTTCCTTCCTGTTTTCCTTCCTTCCTTTTCTCCCTCCATTTATTTTTTATTTTATATTAGTTTTTTTGCAGTACTTGGATTTGCACTCCAGGCTTCATGCTTGCTAGGCAGTCACTCTATCACTTGAGCCACTCTGCCACTCTCATCTCTTTTTATTTTTGATACAAAGTCTTGTTCTGTACTCCAGGCTAGCCTGGAGCACACTGTGTACCCCAGGCTGGCCTCAAACTCCTGATCCCTTTGCCTCTACCACCCAAGGGCTGGGATTATAGGTTTATGCGGTCAAGCCCAGCACTTGGTATTTTTCTTAATCTCAAGAACCTAATTCTTTTAACCTAATTCTTTGACTTTGATTTTGTTAAGTAGATTCTGGAGGCATGGTTAGGTTGGATAATTCAAAGAAGCCTCTAGTAACTATTGGCACTTGAGAGATTTATAGGATATAATAGGATTTGTGTTTGCTGGGGCAAGAGGATACTTCTAAAATCTTTGATGGACTCCAGTGTTTGTGAAATGTTCAGAGAGAAAGCTAGATTTTGATAGACTTTATAAATTCGAGCTCCCATGTTTAGGGAGTGAATGATACCCAAACTCAAGGGACTTCTGGGTTCAGAACCTTAAGCCTCCTTGTCAAGATACAATCAGAATAACAGAGTGATTTCTGTTGTAGCTTTGAGACTCAGACCTATATAAGGTCATTCATTCGTATTCAGATCATGAAGAATTTGGTGATCTTAATTAGAAATTTCTGTTAATTTTTTTTGTACTCATTTTTTAAATTTTGTGTTTCCCAGTCTATGTAGCAGAACTGTGTTAACCAGATGTATTGCTTCTCTGTGCTGTAGAATAAAGGAGTGATAAGGTGGTATCCATCCTTAAGCTCACAGTCTAGTGAGAAATAGATACTTTAATAGACAAATTATGGGAGAACTCATAAAATGTTTGCATATAGGTGTGATTTATGTAATTTTACCCATTTAATGGTACACATTGCAAATTGAGAAAAGAAATATGGAAATTTTCTTTCTATAATATTAATTTAATATGATAGCAGCTTAATAAGAAAAGAGGCCTAGTCTCAGGAGAGTGAGGAAAAACTAACATTTTCATTAGGTGACAGGTAGTATTTTTGTTTTTAAATTTAACTTTTTTAGTTGGCCTTACAAACTCTTTTGAAGTTTTTAGCAGTATGATAGATTTTAGTCAGTTCTAATGTATAGAAAATGGTTAAATATAGAGAATTTTATTACACTTGTATGAATATTAGACAAAAATGTTCTCTGCACCCAAATTCTCTACCATAGAAGCAATATATGATTAAAACAATATATTATTGATAGTTGATAGTGTGAAAGTACAAATATAAATATCGACATTTAAATATGAAATCCAGATATTCTAAGGTGTAATCTGTCGTGCATTGAATAGCTTTGGTTTCTTATTCACTCATTTCTTCATTGATATGAAAATATTTATTGAAACATAGAAAGACTCAGTCCTGTTTTAAGGAAGCATATGAACCAGTAGTAGGTGACTTAGACAGGTAATTAGAATGGGATAATACTTTCACAGAAGTATAAGAATGCAATAGCCAAAGGTCAAAAGCACCTTAGAATCCTTTGGAACAGAATCTGGGGAGATTTTTTGAGGTGAGACCTAATGAATCAGAAGTAGCTTATTGGCGATAGAAATGGTAAAGGGCAAGGCAAAGTGACATATCCTGATGTGTCATTCAGAAAAATCACACAGTATTCATGAATGAACAGTGGTTTTGGCTGAAGTCAAAATCCTGAGGGTTGGACCAGGACGGGCAGGCAGGGACTCTTACAGAGAACTTTCTCATTTCGCTAAGAACTTTGAGGCTTATATATTGTGACACAAATGGCAAAGAGGGAGAGTAGGAGTCTTGCCATGGTTCAAGATAGAGATACTGATGGCAGTGGAGGTAGGTGGGTAGATATTTTAAGATCTAGAAATACTGGAATTAGTGATTGGCTCTGTGGAAGTATGATTCTAGTATGACTTCCATGCTTTTTGGTTAGATCTCTGCATAGACATTACCATTAAGGAGGAGCAATATTAGAAGCTCAGTTTTCTTTAGGACCTGTTGCCTGTGAAACACTAAGATGTAGTTGTGTGGAGGCAGAAGTTCTCAATAGATATGGTAATCATATAACTTATTTTCTAATCTAGGACCTGTTTGACAGTGAAAAAGGTGCTACGGTTGGTTATACTTGTACAGTATTCATTCAAAGACTGACAGGCGAATTGGGGTGACTGGTCAATGTAATGAAGTATGATACCCATTTGCTTATATTCGTGTATAAGAACTTGTGTACAATGAGAGAAAGAAAGTCTTTTCATACTATTTGTGATACAGAGATTTTGAAAACATTTGTAAATTGAAGAACTTACTAAGTCTTTTTTTTTTTTAGAATACTTTGATGAAATGAAAGAGTACGGCCCAATCCATATTCTGTGGTCAGCATCAGAAGAAGATCTGGCTGACACTCTCAAAGGTCTTGCCAGCTGCATTGACAAGTGCTGTAAGGCCACTGAGAAGCGGATGTCTGGCCTCTCCGAGGCCCTGCTCCCTGTTGTACACGAGTATGTGCTTTACAGTGAAATGCTAATGGTAAGAACAACCAATTAGAATTTCACCACAGTCTCTTACCTGACTCCAGGCTCTGGTCAGGCCATTTCTGTTCTGATTTTCCACCACTTCTTTCCTGTCATGGCAGCACATTTTGCAAGTAGACGCTCAATAGATAGGTGTTTACCATGCGTGTGAATGGTTGAACAGAGGGAAGGGACACACCGATAAGAGAGAAGTGCTCAGTAGCCTCCCCAACAATTTATAAGATTGACATGGGCTTGAAGCATTCCCCACTCAAGATTCATTTGGGAAATATGACTAGTTTCTCCAGCCTTTTTTAAACTTTAGAAATTTTTTAGTGCTTTGGAGATTCATTTTGATGAGCGTTCCTTTCCCACTTCTAATTTTATTAGATTTAGTAATACGTTTTTTTATTAATATGTAGAGAGTAGTTGAGTAGGATTTTGATGTTCGTTCTGCCTTCTAGTTGCTTCTAAAAAAAAAATCCTTCGAGTTAAAATGTTTTCCTTTCACCATTCGAAAGAGCTTTTATTGCTGTTGTACAAAGTTTCACATATTTTCTCCTCGGTTCAAGTTGAGATTTCCAGATATATGGGGTTTAGTAATACCGTCTGCAAAGCCGATGTTTTTATCCAGAGTTATTCTGTGCCTCAGTACCTTGCAGGAGCCCTCTGGTCTCCAGTGCTGCTTTAGGGTGATGGTGGTATCCCACTGCATTCAGAAATAGCCCCTTCTGCCTTTTATAATCGGAACCTTGCATGGTCTCTGGTGTTGTGCGCCCTTGCTTTCTAGGGAGTTTTTCCTCTCTCTGTAAGAAAAGGTGTCATAGCCTTTCAGCATGACAGTTCTCTCTTGTATTTGTCATGTTCAGGCCTCCTGTGAGGGAGTCATTAAGTATTGTGTGGATATTTCAGGCTCCTGCTGCTACTTGTCTTTATTGGGGTCCTCCTGTAAGCAAGCCCTCTTGCTGCCCAGATGTCTGTCACGCTTCCCTGTGGAGGGTCCTCCTGCTCCTCTCCAGCAATGTCCTGGCCGTCTCTTCTGGTTCTATTTTGTTACTGATTTGCCTCTTCTGTGGCTCTTCAGAGAGCTCTGACTTGGATATTCTCTTCCCGTAATTAGCTAGTGTTTCCCTCTATGTTATCTCAAGGAGGAAACTAGATGAATGAAATCGTGTGTTATTAAAGATGTGAAGAAATTATAGTAGTCACTGGAAAGAGGTATTGTATAGGTCCTCGGTTGATTGGATTATTTACAAATGCCCCTGACATCACCAGAAGTATTTATATTGTATTTCTAGTTCTGTTTTATATGAAATATTTTCTTCAGTCTGAGTTTAAATAGTGAAAATGATACCTTGATAAAAATGATCAAATTTGTATAGCTTTCACTGGTTATCTTACAAAGCAACCATGTAATTATGCCTGTGAAGTCTGTTTATAGAAACAGACCTTAATGATGTAAGCCATTTGGGTTGAAGAGAGGAAGGAATTTGTTTTGTTTCTTTTTCTTGAGTTTTTCTGTTTCACTTTTTATTGGTATCTCTTGACCTGTCTCTAAACGACAAAAGCCAATTACAAAATTTAAACTTTATTTTCTAGAACCATCTAACACAAGAACTAGATTTGTTTGGGTTTTTCGTACATTTTAATGGATCCCATTAGGATTTTTGTACACGTATGTAATGCAGGGTGATCTTATTACACCATTATAGAAAGGAGTTCCTTTTTTGGGGGGAGGAGAGCAGTAGTAGGGTTTCAACTTGGAGCTTTGCACTTGCCAGGCATGTGCTCTACCATTCAGCCCTTTTTGATTTTAGAAATTTTTTGAACAGGGTCTTGCATTTATTCCCAGCCAGCCTGGCCTGCACTCCTATTTGTGCTTCCTGCATAGCTGGTTTGACAGGTACGCACACTGCACCCAGCTTTTAGTTATTGATGGAGATGGGGGTCTTGTGAACTTTTTGCCTAGGCTACCTTTGAACTGTAATCCTCTGGATCACTGCCTCCCAAGTACCTAGGATTGCATGCATGTGTCACCATACCTGGCCAGGAAGGAGTTTCTTGATGTTAATGACACATTATACACTGAAGTAAATCTAAAGGAATTTGTGATAGTTAGTTGACTTTTCTGTTGATTTCCTTGGAACTGGGAAAAAATGTTAATCTCTTTTGAATGTTTTAAGAGTTAATTCCACTAGGTGCAAAATGGGATGGGGTGTTCTCTGGGTGAATTTTATCCTAATGCCCCTCAGTTCTTATTGAATGTGTCAGAGCCATATTTTGGCTTCCATGTACCTGGTGTGTCTTGTAGAATACTCAGAAGGCTTGTACTGACAAAGGCCTGTCATTTTATGCTCTGTGTCTGTCACTGGTAGACTTGTTTGCTTAACCAGGGTCAGTTTTATTATTTACTTAATCTGCATGGGCTGTTTGTGTAGCTAGAACTTCTTTATTTAATTAACATTGTGAAAACCAGTAAAAGATGAGTACAAATGAAAAGAGTCCTTATATATGTGAACCACTAAGGGAAAGATACTGTAAAGGACTGATGAAAATTATGAAAGATCTAGAAGGATTCTACATCCACATTGATTCCCAAGGATGTTTTTAATTTAAAAACATTGAAACATGAAATCATGGTTATTCAAGAAAACAAGCTGGAGCAACTGTCAAATATAAGAGCATAATTTCTCATAAAAACTTAGCTAATTGAGCCGGACAGGGTAATACCCACCTGTACACAACCTGCTCAAGATACCAGGAAGGCAGAGAGACAGGAGGATCGAGAGTTCAGGGCCAGCCCAGGAGAAGGTAGTAGTGAGACCCTGTCTGAAAAGCCAAAATGGAAACAAAAGGACCAGGTGCATAGCTCAAGCACTTAAAGAAGGCCCCCAGGTTCAATCCCCAGTACAGGGGGAAAATAGTTGGACTAATTGATGAATATTTACAAGGCTTGAGCTAAAATAAATTGCTTAAGATGTGATTGCACACTTCAACTTTTTGATTCCCACCGCTACTGCTGGTGTAATTAACTGTCACTTTGGGGTCAGGAAAGAGGGCATCACACCAGTTATAGATATTGGCAAGTAAGAGGCCCACATGACCCCCAGCTGTACCTGGTGTAGATGTAGCATGCATTACAGTGCTCCCATTGACTTTCTTCTTAGTTTGTTTTGTTCTTTGCCCTTCTCGAAGAATGATCCATCAGATATTGAGCATACATATAGGGCTTAAACCGGTAAAATGTGCACTGGGAAAACTTAGAAAGGATTTATGAAAAAAAATTCTCTTAAATACTTGCTTACAGTTGAGATTTTGAACATCAAAGAAACCAGCTTTTTAAGTGTATCATATCCCAAAATGACTGATAGCATTAGAAATACATTCCTGATTCCTGTTTGTATTCTGAAATGTGTATTTATATTCTGAAATGTGTATTTTTGTTATAGAAAAGATTATTAAAATGCAATACAACTTTTATCCTTTTATTTTAATATGAAGGGTGTGATGAAAAGAAGGGACCAAATACAAGCAGAATTGGATTCCAAAGTCGAAGCTTTGACTTACAAAAAGGGAGATTCTGAGCTGGTAAGTTTTTACACATTTTTTTGGAGAGTAGGAGTGGGGTTTGAACTCAGGGCTTCACACTTGCAAAGCAGGTGCTCTACCACTTGAGCCACACTTCCAGTTTTGATCTGGTAAGTTTTTATGTTTGTTGATATGATCAGTTAGAATACATTGTCTAAAATACTTTTAGCAACATGGAACTTTGTTATATGATGGTGTCTAAACAGTCAACAAATCAAACTAAAATTTCTTCCAAACATCTATTGTATATTGAGTACAATGAGATATGTTAAGCTTAACAGTGAACATTTTCAGCCTTTCTGACATATATTGACTCATTCTGTAAGGAAAATAAAAGTTAATGTGTTTAAGAGGACATACTGTGTTAGAGAAAGGAGTCAGGTAAGTACTCAGTAAATAAATTCATGTTTTGCCAGTTTTATAAGATAGTTAACCAAACTCATTTAATGTTCATCAATACTTTTTTCTGGTTATTTTAAAAATCTTTACAAGGGAATTATTTTTGTTTAATACCCTTAAAACAAATTCCAGACATTGATGGTTTTGCTCATAGCATTTTGGTTTTTATATTTTATTATGCATGCGTATTTTTAGAGTAATATTATCAGATGAGCCCTGTTATTTTCTTGTTAAAATTGAGGAAGAGACTTGGAAAGTGGAGTAATTTGTCCAAGTTTATCTTAGCTCTTGACACACAGAAGCAAGACTAGAGGACATGCTTGTGCTGACTGCCTTAGACCACGCTCCTCATAGAGGAAGGGGAGGAGTGGGGAAACTTGACTCCTACTCTGGTTGACCTTCACAGGGTGCTTTGTGAAGGATGCTTTCTCAATTTTTCCTCTGAGGACTTAGACTGGCATTAGTGATTAGTACAGTATTGAGCACACTTATGTTAGGTAAGTTGGGGTGTCATTAGAGCACCCCCCCGGAAATGTTATACTGCATTCTCCCCTCCCCGACTTGGCAAGGGACTTTCATGGCTCCTCCATGCTTTAATTTTCTCCTTAGTTCTAATCACCTTATAACGTAGCATATGATTTCCTAACTGATTTGCGGTTGTGTTAGCCTTCCTACCTCCTTCCCTCCCTCTTCATAATCAAACCACCGTAATGGGAGGAATTGCTGATTGGTTCCCTACTCCTAGAGCACTGCCCGTCATGTGTTAACTGTTCAGTAGACTAGCGAAAGAATGAAAATTGCGTTGACTATTCTGATTCAAGAAAACATTAAAAACTTGAAGAAGTCTCTACAAACCCAATCTTGTGCAAAACACTGAGACTGCACCAAAAAAGCAACTACGAACTGTACTCCTGCTTCTTTATTTGATGACACACGTTCCCAGCTGTGATGGTAATTGTCTGAGTAAGGTGTGAGTGGGCAATAGTGGGCTGCCGTGGACCACGTAGAAGAAAGGAACCTGTGACAGAAAATGTAGAACTGGAGAAACCAGTCTGAGGGAAAATCATACTTATTTTTACCTTAATGTGAGAAAAGAGGAAACCTAAGATTCACCACTTTCATCCAAGAGGAAGATTGTTTTGTGTATATGTGGGTTGTTTTAGAGTCAGCTGGAAGGAAGAAAAGAGGGTAGACACAGGTTACAGAAATCTTAATTGCATCTTTTGAACTTCAGAATTTGTTCTTATTTATTAAATAATTTTAAAGATATTGATTGAAATTAGTGGCCAGACAAAATTTTACTCTTGACTAAAGGAGAAAATTTCAACTTTCAAGAGAATAATGACCTGACAAAAAAGCAAGCATCAGCTCAAAATGGCCTCTATTTATGTTTTAAAATGAAAGGAAGGTTAGTTAGGGTTGTTCCAACCACAAGAGCAAAGTAAAAAATCACTGAAGTCCTGTTATGGTGAGCAATTTCCCAACTCAACTAAAAAACAACACAAAAATTTTTTTTTCATTTGGCTTGCAAATACTTTCTTTTATTTTATAAAAATTTCATTGATATTTCATTATAGCCTAATGAACCATCTATGTGTCTAGCCCCATCTGTGTGTGTTTGTGTTTGTGTGTATCTGTGTGTGTCTGTGGGGGGGTGGGTGTATCTGGGTGTACAGCTGCATTTGTGTGTATGTGTGTGTGTGTGTGTGTATGTGTGTATACACCATGTCCACTGCATTTAAGATCTACATAGCTGTGGTGTTGTAAAATTGTATAAATTTTAAATATCAACTATCTGCACTATATTCTGTAAGATACTTTGAAGTAGACACATTGAGAAGAATCATTACAGCTTTTGTCATTGTTGTTACCCATCAAAATAGATCCTTCCTAAAGTGTACAGGTACCAATTGCATGATCTGTGAATGTTGTCATTTACATTTACACAAATGGTGAATTTGTAATTTATAAGCCTTTTGGCTTTTAAACCCTGTGTGTCATGATGTGTATTTGGGAGAAACTTTCTGGAGTTCCTCTATAAATGACTCTGCCGTGATTGGCCACAGGATGACCAAAAGGAAGTTGCCTAGAAATATGCAGGATGGGGTCACCATGGAAACCCGCCCTTGTGAGGTCCTTCTGAGGCGCAGTCCTCTGCAGTCACCATGGCGACCCTGGCTAAGAACTGAATATAGTGATCTGCCAGGTTGTTTACCATGGCAACTCAGGCAAGGCCACTTTGGAGACAACCCTGGGGCCATTTCTATGGAGACCCACTGAGGCTGCCTTCAGAGGTTCCACTGAAGTCACCTTTGGGTGGGATGCTATGTGCAAAGCCAGTGAGGCCACTCTTAATGAAACAAGTCAGAGAAATGAAGCTCTATCAAGAAGTGCAAAAAAAAAAGAAGTGCAAAGATTAGGAGGGTTATAATTACGGGGAGAAAGATAGCACCAACATAACATTCCAGAGGTCACTTTGAATATACCAGGTGACTTTTGTGTGTTTTGTGGTATGAAAATACAAGGCTCTAGGTTTTTTACCTTGCCTGTAACTCTGTAGATATTGTGAGTGAGCAATAATTAATTGCATGATGGTTACTTTTACCCATACACAAATATGCCCACAAACGTAATGTTTTCACATAAACTAAAATAATATTTGATAGTGAATTCTTTGACGTATGACCAGACTGCTTCTAAAGTGTTTGCTTCTCAGAGCATGTGGTTTGTAGTTCCTTATCTCACAACATAGGATTAATGGCTTCAAAATGACTTATTCTCAGTAATGACACTCAAAATACTCATAGCAAGATCAGTTCAGCTGCTTATTTAAAGTTTTGTTATTTTGGCTTTGGAATTAGACCTAAAAACAAATCCTAGCTCATCTGCTCATTAACTCTGTGACCCAGGACAAATTTCCTGACTTCTTTTTAACCTCTTTTTATTACATATAATTTGGGGGAAACTTATGAGGCCTTTCTAATAGTTCTAATAGGCTTTTTAAGGACATTAGATTATATAATGCAAATAAGTTACTTCAATTATGGAAAGCATTTGGTCATTAGCTGTTGTGATTTTGATGACTACATAGAACTAATGTTTGAGACAGATCCTATAAAATGACTAAAAAATTGTTCATTGAAGAGTGGAGAGAATGCTTGAGGTATTTAAGCAGCATGAATACCTGGAAGGAGAACCTCTGGAGCAGAGGAGAGGAAATGCTGAGAGGAGTGTGCCTGTACATTCTAGGGATAGCAAGGAGGTCTTGTTGTTGCAATGGAGATGAAGTAACGAGAAAGAGAGGTGGAACAGGGCTATTTCACATAGGGTCCTAGAAGGCTTTGGTCTTAGTGAAGCAGGATGAGAACAGCAGAACAGAAGAGCCATCTGTAAGTTATGAAAGGGCCGTTGTGCTGGGGAGAAGCCCAGGAGCTGAGGACTCACAACCACCTGGTCCAGGGAGGCAGGGGAGGGGACATGGTCTCATTCCAAGCAGCTTCTGTAGGAAGAGCTGTCGGCTAGCTGGTAGGCTGTAATTTCTGATAAGAAGAGTTAAGGATGGTTCTGGGGTCTGAGTAACTGCAACATGATGGTTGACATCAGTTGGGATAGGGAAGACCTTGGGAAGAACAAATTTAGTGAGGGTTGTTTAATGAGGGTTGTGGGGAAATCAGATTTGGACATGTTAAAATTGATAGGCCTACTTAGATATCAAAGATCAAAGTGGAAACCTTACGTAGGGAATTAACATTAAAAACTCCATCGGTCAGGGAAGGGATCCAGATGGAGATACAGATTTGGAAATTGTTAGCAAATGGATGTCTTTTAAAGCCATGATATTTGTTGAGGTCACTAAGGAAAGAGAAGAGAGAGGAGCAAGAAGTCCTGGCTCTGTTATCAGTAGGGCTGAGTGAGTTGGTGCACATTTGTAATCTTATTTACTTGGAAGGCAGAGATCAGAAAGATTGTCATCAAGGCCACCATGGGCAAAATGTTAACAAGACCCTAGCTGTTAACAGGCATAGTATTTGCTCAGGGCAAAAATATGAGACCCTATCTGAATATCTGAAAAATAACTGAAGCAAAATGGCTGGATGTGTGGCTCAACTGGTAGCACACCTGCTAGCAACTGCCAGGCCCAGACTTCAAACCGCAGTACTGCCAAATAATAAAAAATAAATAAAAACAAAGAAGTTATTGGTAATGGAAAAAATCAGAGGACAAATGGGTGATGAGAAGAAGGAAAGGGCGTATGTGTAGTTTTAGCTGCTGTAGGAAGTTGGAAAACTAAGATAAACTAAACAGGTCTAATTAGTGTCATTCAGCATTTAATCATTTCTCCACTTGTGAGGCATTTATTGAAATAATTTGATATAGAATAATTAACATAAATGTAGATAAAATATTTCAAGAGACCTTGAGAGTTGTATGATGTGTTGTGATAAAGTCCATATTGAATTAAATAGATACTGTTCTTTGAAAATACAGAAATTTCTGAATGGCAGTGAAAGTTCAACTGCAACTGAGAAAAACTCAGATATTTGTAGGAACTTGTGGGCTTTGCAGCTCAGTTAGAAGTTTTTATTCAGAGCTTCTGTTTG